GAAACAGCAAAAGCCCCTGCACCACCGAATAAAACTGTGCTTCCTTGTCTCAACCCCATGCCTTCAGAGCAGGCTGTTTCAGTGTCAAAATCTGCCGCACAATGGGTAACCCTTGTTCGAGTAATTTTCCCCTCTTCAGAATTTCTTCACAGGGAGGAGTAGAATGGAAACCTCTTCCCAGCTATTGTGCATCGCAGTTGAAAAGGAAAAACTGTTTAACACCAGGGAACAATAGAGCCCTTGCTTGCTGCTGCTATTGCTGCTGCTAGTCTGGTTTTTGCTGCCACTCTCTTCCATTCAGTGGTTAGTAGCGGTTTTCCATCAGCTGAGAGACAGCTGTCCACAGGGGGCTCCAGCTGACTGAGCAGGTTATCTTGGTCTGTGTGGCAGCAGCACTCATTTACACCAGCTGGAGACAGTGAGAGAGAAATGAAGAGAAACACAAATAAGCAAATGCTGTAATCTCACTGCACAGAACTACTACATCAGCCTGGAATACCATAAAAACACATCCTAATAAAATAAAAAACAAAACAAAAAAAAAACTCAGGAAAGCTTAGGAAGGACTCTTTAAATACATGATTTTCTATGCCTTTAAATCAGTCAACATGTATAGTTTATTTGACTGCATTGGTACAGATACATTTAAGAATACAGAACTTTAGACAAACATTATCCCATAACAGCAAATATACTCTTTCACTTAAAATATATTTACCACCTAAATTGTATAGAGCTGTAGCAGACAATCCAGGATGCAAGAAGGAAACACAGCTTTTATTTCTTTTTAATGGGGATCTTTATTTTGCAGTTCTTTCCCTAATACTGAAACAAGGATAAACTTGTTAACCTAGTTTTTCATAATCTACAAAAAATTGAAAGGCAAAAAAAAAGAACTGTTCTCAGATGGGCCAACCTCATACATAAAAATGTGATAAAACACAAAGAGGTGCCTGTGTCCAAAAGCTTGCAAAGAACAATTTTCCAACTATTCAGTTGATCTAATAAAAGATATCCCGTTTACCCAGATAACCTTGTCTGCCTATGTCTGTAGAGCAACCCCCCCCCATAAAAAACAAATGCATTCTAACAACACATCAGCCATAGAGTTTTAAATGATGAAATTACTGTTATTGAAAGGGGAAACCTTCAGGAAACCTCTCTTGGGATACCTGTCATTTTGCAGAACCTTCCCAGACTCAGCCTTTTCACATGCATTAGATTAAAATCAGCCTTGATCAAATAATTCCCAAGTCCTTGCCTATTTAAATATTCTGACATCAGAGCAAATTAGCAATGTTGAAGGTTGCAAATTCGTCTTTGTTTACTTTCCACTCTGTTACGCCTCTAAGAGGGAATTAAAGGCTCAGGGAGCTCTAGCACTGTGAGGCTGTGATTAAGAGAGATAAGCAAGTGTGGATTACTGTTCCTCAGCTGTTGAAAAACAGGCAACAATCAGAAGATTATAGGTTGATAAGGGATACATAGAAAGCCATGATCCTAACAAATTTATAGCATCCTGATGCAGAATGTGCATCAGCTAAGGTGTAGTGAAAATGGGTATTCTTCATTTCTGCTACTCAGATTGTGCTGTAGTCTGTTTGCAAACCATGTAATTGTTCCTTTTAGTTCCTTTAGCTCCTTTAAACCAGAAAGAGCAAAACAAAACCTTGAAGTCATAGCACAGCCTATTTCATACCAGAATTTTCAGCTAAGAACAAAGTGCTAATGTTCAAGGCATTTTATTGGTTATTAGGGTTAATAAACTGATGCAACATTTACAAGGAACAAATTTAGACATTTTAAGAACAGATTTACTGTTTGTTAAAATATCTTTTGTAGTCAATCTAAGGCAGTCGTTTTTTTAATTATGCAAGTAGATAAAAGAGTTTGCATAATTCTTTCAAAGATAAAGAGTAAAAATGCTAGCTAATAGACAAATCTATCACAAGGGAAAAATCAGCCTTTCAGAGTTACCAAGACTAAAGGGACAAAAGCACTAAACACTGAATATTTTACTGTGGGTACATCAGTACCTTACCTAGACTCCTGGCAGCCCAGGAAAACTTTTAGTATCACACCCCGCTTCAACCCCTCCTCCTGCTTCACTAGAGATACTGATAATAATAATAATCAGACAATGGGGGGGGGAAATTGCCATTTTTGGGCCCCCTTTCTGTCCGGTTTGCCCATGCATGTGTCCAGCCCTGGAGTGCATATGAATCTAGTAAGAATAGCACTGTATACATTTCCTATATTACCTTAGGGAGACAGACTGGCCAGGTAGTTAGTAAAGGGGAACAAACAGGGTCTGGGATAGTTTCTAATATAAACAAACACGTATATTAGGAGAGAGTACATCCCCCCACACAAACAGACATCTCTCTATTTTTATGTATATATAGCTCTACAGCAAAGCACTCCTGACAATTCAATACAAGCAGCAAATTACTAACCATCAACACCATCAATATGTACACTTATATTTAATTTCTGAATAGGGATGAAACCTTTTTCAAATGCTAAACATACACAAGTACACATATTTATATTAATATAAATGTGCAGACAAAAATATGGAAATAAATGAATTTTCAAGAATTCCATCTTTGATTTTTAGTGACAGACTACGAATGAAGTTACTCAGAAATACTTACTGGAGACTACATGTTCACTTGGTTATTGGGGTTTTCATTGTATTAGTTTAGTAGGGGGATATTTAAATAAGGAAAGAATGTTTAGGTTTAAGAATGTGGTATAGTCATTTTACATACACTTCTGATCAGACTCCTGAAAAGAAAAAATGTAGATCTCAGTCAAACCTGTTTGGTAATAATGGTTCATACAAATATCAGGGCTCAGTTCAAGGGTGAAAGGATTTGACAGATTCTATCCAAGGGAGGCCACAAGGTCTCTCTGGACAGTTGAAGACAAAAGGGTACAGATGAGGGTAGCTTTGTAACCATGACACAAACCTCACAGAATCAAATCAATCAATTAATGGAATTCCAGTTTTGTGATAGACAAATTTTTAAATATTATATGATATACCAGGGAAGTTCAACTTCCAACGGACCAGGGGTCACACCCTACACAGACAGCAATAGTGTGAGCTACACACACAGGTATCAGTTCCTTCCCCTCCTTTACCACATACATGTGCAGTCCTTGCTCCTCTCAACTCAGCACACATGGGCCCCCCCCAGTACTGGGCTGCTCTGTGCCACACAGACATTACACTTAAATCGGTTTAAGTGATCCAAAACTGGTTTAAACCTGTAACAAAACAGATGTTCAGTGCACATAAACTGGTTTTAAAATGGCTAAAACTGGTTTAAGATGAATCCGGTTGAATATAGACTTAACTGGCTGAATCAGACTTAACTGATTTGGGTCAAGCCAGTTTATGCAATGTCTGTCTCAAACCCCTTGCTGGTTTAAGCTAAATCAGAGTTCCCCAGCATCCTGGCATGCTCTCTGCGCTGGGCGGGGATCTCTATTCCACAACAGGGCTGGCCCCTCCCCTCTGCTCCCTGGATGCAGCTCTGGCAGAGACTTGCAGTCACAGCAGCATCTGGCTGGCTTGCTTCAGCTCTCCCCCTTCCTCCCCTCACCACTCCCTGCTAAGCAGGAATCCCCTCATCTCCTCTGCCTTACACAGATACCTCAGCATTAGCTGGCAGACCACATGCAGGCTATGGTCTGTGCTGCAGCAGACAGCAATGTCGGCATAGACCTTTTTGAAATAATCAGCAGCACAGCTAACAATGTCCCGCCATTCCTTCTTTGTTTAAGAGCTTGAACTCATGAGAGAGGCTGTTTGTTTTCTGACGGGTTGATAAATGCTGATAGCAGAACTGATAAATGCTCTGTTATCAAGGAGGGGGGAACCCTCCCAATCCTGCCAGGAACTGGCCATGCCCCCTCAGCTCAGCCCTGTGGAAGGAAAGGAAGCGCTGCTCTAGAACCCCCCAGCTTCTAGCCTGAGCCATTGCAGGCATGTGCCTGTTTGTCTGGGATGTCTGTACAGTTACAAACTGATTTAGCTTAGCCAAGTTAGACTAACGCTCAAAAACTGAATCAATTCAGGCTCAGGCTTTTTGAACATCTGTTCCTAGCCAAACTGGTTTAAATCTGTAACAGAACTGATGTTCAGTGCACAAAAACCAGTTTGAAAATGGCTGAAACCAGTTTGAGATAAACCTGGTTGAATGTAGTATCAGGCTTAACTAATTTGGGTCAAACTGGTTTATGCAATGTCTATCCCAGAACCCTTTGCTGGTTTAAGCTAAGCCAGACTCCCCCAGCATGCTCTCTGGGCTGGGTGAGGCTCCCTGCTCCACAGCAGAGCTGGCCACTCTCTTCTGTTCCCTGGCTGCAGCTCCAACAGAGACTGCAAGTACAGCAGGGTCTGCCTTGCTTCCCCCACGCCCATGTCCGACCCTCCCACTGCTTGCTGCTCAAGTAGGAATTCCTCCCCCAACATACACACACAAACATTCCTATCTCACACAGCACAGCCCCCACCCCCACAGACCCTATGCATGTGGTATACTAGCTAATGCCTAGAGGTGTCTCTGTATGTGTGTCTCCAATTTCACTGTGACAGGCAAATACAACAGTGACTGCTTAGGGCTTTTTGGAGCTAGTCAACAGGCCCCCTGGTAAGCTATTTAAGAAGAGTCTGAATTAGAGAGAAGCTGTTGTTTTGCTGATGGGATGATAAACACTTATTAGCCACCTGCTGGCTTGCTCACCTGTCAGTTTGCTGCAGACAGTATAAAGAAGCAGGGAGGGAGATTAAAAAGCTCCATATCGTCAACAGATGCATGCACTGCACACTGCCTCCCTTGCCTCAGAGTGCTAGCAGGGGTCTGGAAACACTCCTGCCCCTTGAGCAGTGAGCAGGGAAAAGCCTGGGATGGTGCAGGCAGACGTTCTTAATCAAAATGTCCTGCTGGGGCCTGGCCACAACCCCTCA